TCTATGAATAAGAAACGATGATACTATTACATTTTTATTACTGCATCGATGACACTATACATTACTGTTTCTCTGACATGTTTACAGCCTGAGAGGGAAAAAGAAAGCTCTAAAACACACACTTACTGAAAGGCTCCCTTACGCCTATCGTTGCCTTTTCTCTCAAATACATTAAGCACCATTAAGAAACCTCACCTTGTTATTCTTCAAAAAGCAATCCCTTACTTTCTTTCTCTGTAAACTGATAAACACTCTGTTGGCTGTATTCTCTGTTATAGTAAGAACACCGAGATATTTAGACATGGTGATGAATTACCTCTGGGAATAATACATAATAATATTTCACACTTCTGTAATCTTTTCACCCAAAAGCCATAAAACACTTGAATATCAGGGTAACTTCATAGATGATGAAAGAGGAAAGCAGAAGGTGAAATTCATTTTACTAAAGGAAATCCTGGAAAAGAGTCATAGTTATATTCCAGAGAGTGTGGAATGTGTTTTCACTTTTGTCCTCTGTGTTGCGGTAAGTTTAACTCATAGTTAGCAATGAAACTTGCTCAGCTTCAGATACCGCACCAATGGCACAGTTTATTATTCCTTAATTCTGAATCTTCTGGCCTCTGACATTTTCTGGTCATCTTATTTCCTATCAGCATGACTAAATCCAACTGGGCACAAATCACCTACAATTTTTAGCCACGCTTTGTTAAGCTGCTATCTTTTTTTGTTGTCTAGTAACTGTATCTCATGTAATTTAATAACTAATTAAATACACTAAATAAGTAAACAACAAACATACCAACTCTAGTTTCTAGTGCTATTGTTACCACGCCCCTCTGAAATTTTGCAAAGACAAGAAACGAACTAAGTTCTGATGACTTATTTAAACTTAATCAAACTAAACCTAAAGGCATTTTCTGCAAAACAAATACAACATGTACTAGCAAAAAATGTGCTAGGAACAGAGCTTATACCCATTTTTTGTAGAACTCAGCCTGCCAGACAACGTATAAAAAGTTCATACACAGACATCCTGCTATTTCTTTCAAAGGAATAATAAAAGTATAAGGCCAGGCAGATTTATATATGAGCAAAATCAATTCCTCTCTAGCTTTGGCTGCCCTGAATCAAGTCGTATGAATACCCGCATTAACCTTCTGTTATTCAAAATAGGACCACTAATCATAATCACAAAACATAACACTGGAGACCGCTTCCAAAAATCTAGCCTTGCTTTTTGTCTCTATAACTACCCTGCTCAGCCCATCAGAGAGACCTCAAGATTTAAAAAAAAAAAACCAACAACAGTATTTTGTTAATGCATGCATGTGTATGTGCAATAGTATCTTGGTTCACTCTAGCTTCTTTGAGGAATAAGGTTTTCACAGAAACTGGAGAATGAAAATTAGAAGCTATTTAGACCAGTGCACCTCTTACTAAGGAGAGACATACTTATTTTAACTCTAAGCTACTTTTCTGCTAATTATCATACACACCCAAACAGAAAAAGTAGAACTGGTCTTATTTCAGCACCAACAGGCTCCACTTTATTCCAGAATACAAATTCTATTTATTTTTCCCTTCTCTCACAACAACAGTAAGAAAGACAAGAGAAACTGAAGAACAAAACGTAACCCCTGCAACAGCAAGGATCCTGCCATTTTAGACAAGTTGGTGCAATGGATCCCTCAACAAATGTGTATTTATAAAGGCAGGGGTGTGGCTGCAGTGTATGCAGGATGACCCGGTTATCTTCAATTCAAGTACTATTATCTTTAATTCAGCTACTGCAAGTACTTAAAGAACTGAACAAACAGCCGTACAAATAGTGAAAATTTCTGAGACCTATATAGCTGACAAACTTGTTGCAAAGAATCGTTTTGTACTGGCATCATCTTCACCCTAACTTTAACTTTCAACTGTGAGGCTCCACAATGAATTTACGGGTTGTGGTGCAGGACAGTGCCACACTCCACTATTAAAGTACAAAATGGTGAATCTGAGTCTAACAAAGGCAGCTGTACACAAAATTTTAGGCACATCTCTTGAAATATCCCATCTGAATCCAGTTCTTTGCCATTTTCACAGGAACTAACTTTGGGGCTTGGTTTGTGTTCTGAGGCTAAATGAAAGCAACAGGTTGGAGTTTTGAAATAGCCTCATTATTCTGTTCAATAATTTGATCTGCTGGGCCCACTGACTGATCTTGGCAGCAACTCTTTACCTCTTCGTACCTCAGTTTCCCACTCTAGAAATGACAAAAAGGATACTTCTCTCTTTTCTGAAGTGTTTTGGAATCCACAGGTACTAGGCAGATATCTTTACCATCTTTTGAATAAGCAGAACAGGTATCTACCACCTCTACATATCAGGGAGAAAGTCTGAAGTGGAGAAATGACCGTGAGGAGCAGTGAGGAGCATCGCATCACCAGTGTAATGGCAAAACATACTGCCAGTACATTGCTTCATAAACCAGAAACCTATTCCATTGACACGTGTGTTTTAGGGAATGTTGCCACCACAGTCACAACTGCAAAAAAACTGTCAGTCATCAGAATGACAGAAGTTAAAAGAAGTTATCAGTTGTGCTTATTTTCTTTCTTAATTCAAGGACAGGAAAGATTAAGCATAAATACTGGCATCCAAGAAAATCTTATTTAGGTGTGAACATCCAAAATATTACGGATAGACAGGGACATTACAGTCTTCAGCTTTGTATTAAACAACTTCCTCATAATGCTCAACTTCCGTAAACAGTGTGAGGCCTGTAAGTCTGCTGTTCAGATTAATGCATACATTTAGAATACTTTATCGTGTCTTGTGTTTTAGAATCCAAACTACTAGTTTTTCATAATTTGATTCAAAATTATATTACCCGCAGATAACTGTAAATCATTTCACACAGCACCTCTGCAAGGCCAGCTACCTAAATCTCCAAGACATTTACTGATGCTGAGACTGGAAAGGAATGTCCCTTTACAAACGGACAGATAAAAAAAAATCCAAATTACTTTTCAGATTCAAGTCATAAACTCGTTTTTCTCAAAAACTGGTAGCAGTTTTTGGAAATAGAAAGAACTTCTACGTGCTTCTGTGATGTCAAAGATGAAATCTCTGCTTGTGGAGGTACAATCTGTAGCAAGAACACACGTCTGCCAAGACTCTGGCATTGATGATATTTTGTCTATACAGCCTTTGAATGTGACTGACACAGGAACACTGCACATGGTTGAGGAAACTGAAACTTATGGAAGAGCTTTTCAAGACTTAGTCAACATACAGTATTTTGGAAATGTGCCTAACATCCTCCAACCACACCTCCTGGTATCCTCCTCAGGAATCTAACATTTTTTGTTTCTTCAAGTCTCCCAGTTGTCCCAGGAGACAGAAAGATAGATTTGCTTAGATAAGACGCTACCAGAGCCATTTGGACATAAGTAAATATTGTCGACAAGTGGAGAGGTCTATCTGCTGGCTCGTCACTGAGACAGGCATTCAAGTCGTTGAATTCTGTGTTATTTGGAAGGATTGAAGACTGTAAGGAATTGCTAACCTTTTCTCAACTATCGGACTTGACTATGAGAAACACATGACAACTATTAGCTAAAAGACAGAAATGACTAGCTGCAGTTGATAACTGTTCTAGACATTTTAGAAAGCACTACACATTTACCTTGACCTTTTAGGCCATGACAGAAGTAGCCTGAACCATGTGCATGCTTTGATGGGAAAGTCCACATGAACTTGCCACCAACAGCAGGCTGTAATTTTTGGGAAATGATGAATATCACATACTGTCAAATGTTATTTTCACTGTATGACAGCCTTAGTTCACTTAATCCTCCAGCAACTCCCAGGGCTAGGAGAACAGAGAAAAAGGTGAAGGAGACTGAAGGACAATATCATCGGCTTTTAGCTTTAGTTGGTTCACTTCCAATTCAACTGCCACTAAAGTCAACAGCTTCCCCCCTAACTTTAGCATCCCCCTAACTGGGACTTGATGCTAACTTCTATCAATTAATATTACTGACAGTACTGCTCAGCAGCCCAAAAGGAAAAAAAAAAAAATTTAGATTCTAGTTTGCCTTCCAGAATAACATCAGGCCTTAAGATGCCCTTTTACAATCACAGTAAAAGCACTAGTTATGGCTGTGGATCCTCAGAGATCCAGCAAATTTTTGGCACCCAACACAAAAATTACGCTGGCTAAATGCAAAATACGGTAGGTGCTGCTTCTGTCCAAATAAAATATGGGCCTCAGTAAACCTTAGCTTAATCCTGAAATTTGCACACTTGGCCTGACAGGTTAACAGTGTTTGAGTTTGGCCTCCAAACTCACAAACTCAACCTACTGACTGGATATGAAGCGTGTAGGCAGTAGTAGCAATATTTGTGAATCTACAATGAGCTTCCGAGAGATGTTTTTCACTGGGAAGCACTGAAACACTTGCATTTTGGGACTTTTCTGTCACTCAGTAGGAACTGCAAAAATTCTCACCTATTTACACCGTGGATTCAATTAAAAAAACCCTATTTTATCTATGTACTAGGTGTAAGCTGGCTATCATATTTCTGGACCAGAAACCAAGTTTTTCCTCCCATCTCTTCTCTTCCTCCTGCCCCCTCTCCTCCCACCCGCACTAGGGGAACGCTGCTGTGGAGGCCGCAAGGCTAGGAAGCTCAGGGCAAAAACCAGCCCCTGGCCAGCACCTGGTGTTTTCCAGCAGGCCAGCGTGCTCGTGACTGTTCCAGATTCTGGGCCCTTACGAAGAAAAGCGCAATGAAGCATCTTTCGCTTCGTAGGCTCGGTTATGGATTTGCAACCAAACCTGACTGGCTCCGGCAGGTTGTGTTGCCCAGCACTTTTTGTGTCTCTCTCGCACACCTGCACCTGTCGGGGACGGGTTCCTCGGATGGGCCAAAGGGAGCGAGGCATGTTTTCTGTTTTGACAGCAGACGGGAGCCAAACGCTGGGGCCGGCAGGTTCTGGTGTTTACCGTCAGCCATTAGAAAAGGCGAAACACAGCATGGGCACTGCGGCGACAGGGCGTCAGGCGCACCGTCCCCACGGCCGCTTGCAGGCAGCGGCCCCTCGGCTTTGTCCGTCTCCTTCTCCGCTCGGACCGCCCGGCTCCGCTGCCGCGGCGTCCGGCTGGCTTCTCTCACGGCCGGCCCTGGAGTCACA